GGAAGAAGGCGGTCTGTGGAAAAAGAAAAGTCTGTGATCACATGGTTACAGTATGTATAAAAGCTGTGGTAAGCCCGCACAGAAAATCTGCATTTAGGTTTTTTGCTAACATTATGGTATTTTACTCAAGTAATTTCCTGGTTTGTGAGTTTGCAGGTAATAATTAATTTAATGGCAATAATATGCACATTGTTATACAGACAAAACAAGGCTGCAGTGAAGCACAGCATATGCTACAGGGCATGCCTTACTCAAGGCAACACTGAACTCAAACAGGCTTACCCAGCTGATCCACATAACAATTTACACATCCCTTGGGCATGATAATCCCCTCAAAATCCAATTTAGGCAGATTGTTAGATGAAGTGTGCACCTGTGCTAAAGCCAGAGCTTAACCTTTAACTGTGGATGGATGACAGGAGTGGACCACAGTTCAGGATGAGGAACCACGTAGATGGGAAAGCCGATAAGGAACCAGTGAGCATATCTAGGTCGTTCTGATCCTCAAATCAGACTTAATAACTTAAAACACCAAACTGGAGAAGTAAAGACATCCATTTGCACGAATGGGAAAATAAAGGTAGAAAAAAATTAGTATGCAAAGGTCCTGGTTTCAGTTAGGACAGAGCTGGTTTTCTTCCTAGTAGCTGGTGGAGTGCTGTGTTTTGGCTTGGGACAAGAGGGGTGCTGATAACATGCTGATGTTTTAATTGTTGCAGAGTAGTGCTTACACCAAAAGAAACATGAAGAATGGCGGAGAACGATAGAACAGAAATAACCCTGCTACATGCCATTCTTTTCCACTTTCCCTTGAAATGCAGCCCTCACAGGGACAGAATATGCAGCCTGCCTGCCTGGGCTAGGCTTAATTGTGCAAATCCTTGCCAGCTCTGCTGTGTCCAGTAGCCCGTGACTCTAGATGCCTGTTCTCACTACGTCATGGTAATTGCAGCTGGAGGCACAGCAGCCTGCAGAAACTGGCTACTACTGCATGCGCTTTGGTTCTGACTGTGGACACATCTTGCACACTGCCACTTTCAAAATTTGCAGGGTAGGAAACCACTTGTCTTTTGGACCTCCACAGGATTGTCCTGCTGCATTTGTGTTTCTCCAGCAGAAGCTCCTTGGACAGGTCATTCAATCCTTCTTCCTCTCTAGGCTTGCTCCTTCCTGTTGCAGGATTCTTCGTCTTCGTTTCAGGCTTTCCTGGGAACAAGAAAGAATAGTAGCCAATATTTTTTGTTCTCCATATTGTGTTGGAAGAGCACTGGCACAGTGCTCCACCTTTATTTCCATTTGCCTTTCCAGCCTGCTTCTTCTAGCCACCCATTTTGCTCTTGCTCCATAACAATTAACCCAGCATAAACAAAACAGTTAAGCACATAACCTTTAAAAGGAATTTCCTCACCACATTGTAGTGCGCTGACAATGCTTGTCTAACATAGGTCCCCTCGTTCTCTATAAAAGCCCAGACAAATTGGATGGATAATGCAGACAGGGAAGGATGGGGTGGCAGTGGGGAAACTGGGACACATGGCACAGGAGGAGAGGCTCAGAATCTCGGACTGTTGTGCTTGTTCTCAAAAGTGAAGGCTACGTGGGGATATCTGATGGCTATCATCAGCTGTCTGTCTGGAGGGTAAGAAGAACCAGACCCTCCTCAGATTTCCTCTTCCAGAGGACAAGGAAAAGATGAAGCAGTCACAAGTGACATCAAGGTGACATCAAGGGATATTTCAGTTTCAGTCATAAGGAAAAAAAGTCTTTTTTTTTTTTTGTTTGTTTGTTTGTTTGTTTTTGTGAGTGCAGTCAAACACAGCAACAGCCTGGCCATGGAAGCTGCAGAATTTCTATCCTTCAAGATGTTCAGACCAAACCCATGGCACCATGGTCTAGCTTTCACGTTAGACCTACACTGAGTAGAAGGCTGGACTGCATGACCACCTTAGAACCCTTCCAACTGTATTTTATGGTTTCATTAAGGAAAATTAAACCCTTATCACCATAAATAAATAAATAAATAAATAGAATTATAGTATGAATATTTTACCTGGAGTTACAGACCAGGCTACTAGCAGTGCATCTATTTCAGCTAAACCACACAAGGTAGCCTGGAAATAGTGGTGAGTCATTGTGATGGGTGTCCCCTGCTGCAGGGGACGGAGACACTCGCCTGTCAACCTGATTTATTGATTAGGAAGGTTTGCTGCCTGCCAGGGATGCAGAGCACGGATGCTGGTCCAGCTCTCTGACTACTGCCTCCTGCTCTTACTCCACATGGGTGCAAATGATACTGCCAGGGGAAATCTGGGCAGTATCAAACAGGACTACAGAGTTCTGGGGGCAGTAGTCAAGGGCATGGGGGCTCAGCTGGTGCCAACCTCCTCAGTCCTGCTGATGAGAGGAAAGGATGTGAGAAAGAGGGCACTGATAGAGGAGGTCAAAAATTGGCTGTAGAACTAGTGGCAACAGGGTTTGAGGTTCTGTGACCATGGGACCCTGTTTGAGGATCAGTGTCTGCTTGGGAGAGATGGGGTACAGCTCTCTAAGTGGGGCGAGGACAATTTTGCTGATAGCATGTCTGATCTCATAAGGAGGGCAATAAACGAGGAAGAGGGAGAGGGTACCCAGCGGCCCTGTGAAGGAGTGATGCACAGGGCTGCTGAACAATGGGCACAGGGTGATATGGCAGGCAGGGATCACAAAATCAATGATAGGGCTAAAGCAGGCTACTTCCAGCACTTGCAGGGTAGCAAGGAAATGCCTACAAGGCATTATTACGGAGAACTCCCTCGAACACCCTCTAGTAACACAGCATGCTGGGGTACCCCTCTGAAGCGCCTGTGTGGGGAGGAAACAAGAGAAGTTAGAGGTGTGCATATGCTTCCAGGGTTGGGATCTTACTGACACCAAGGAGATGTGGTGGGATGGCTCCCATGACTCGACTGCTGGCATGGAGGGATAGGGTTTTGGGAAGGACAGGCAGGGGAGGCGTAAAGGGGGTATCGTGCTTGATGTCAGTGAGCAGCTGGAGCACATGGAGCTCTGCCTGGGGATGGATGAGGAGCAGGCAGAGAGCCATTGGGTCAGGATTACAAGGAGTCCCCCATAAGATCCTCCTACAGAAGCTGCTGAAGTATGGCCTGGTTGAACGGTGAGGTGGATTAAAAACTGGCTGAACAGCCAGATCAAATGATAGCGGTCAGAAGCACAAAGTCTAGTTGGAGGCTGGGAATGAGTGGAGTATCCCAGGGGTCAATACTGGGTCCAGTCTTGTTTAACAATTTCATTATCAATCTGCATGATGAGGTGAAGCACACCCTCAGTAAATTTGCAGATGATGTGAAACTCAAGGGAGTGGTGGACTCTGCATAGGGCTGTGCTGCCATCCAGAAGGACCTTGACAGGCTGGAGAGGTGGGCTAAAAAGAAGGTCATAAAGTTCAACAGGAAGCGTGGGCTCCTGCAACTGGAAAGGAACAACCCCAGATATGAGGACACGCTGTGAGTCACCTAGCTGTAAAACAGTTTTTCAGAAAGGGACCTTGGAGTCGTGATGGACACAAAGTTGAACATGAGTCAGCAAAGTGCCTTTGTTGCTAAGACAACTAATGGCATTCTTGGCTGCATCAGGCAAAGTATTGTCAGCACGTCAAGAGAGGTTATCCTTCCACTGCGTTCAGCACTGGTGAGGCCGCAAGTACAAGAGAGACTTGAACATGCTGTTAAGAGTCCAATGGATGGCTACCAAGATGATGTTGGGACAGAAGAGATCTCCTATGAAGAGAGGCTGAGAGAGCTGGGACTGTTCAGCCTGGAGAAGAGGAGGCTCAGGGGGGATCTCATAACCGTGTATAAATACCTGAAAGGAGTTTAAGGACGATGGACGCAGGTTCATTTTGGTGGTGCCCAGTGCCAGGACAAGAGGCACTAGGCACAAACTGGAGCACAGGAGGCTCCCTGTGCACATCAGAAAACACTTTTGTGGCATATGGGTATTGGAGCATTGGCACAGGTTGCGGAGTCTCCCTCCTTGGAGTTCTTCAAAAGCCCCCTGGACATGGTCGTGGGCAATAGTCTAAGTGTCCCTGCTTGAGCAGGCAGCTGGACTAGATGACCTCTGGATGTCCCTGCCAACTTTAACCATTCTGTGATCCCACAATTATTCTCTGCTTCTCTTCATTCCTGCCTTTAATGACAGCTGCCTGAAAGAAGAAAATCTATTTCAACAGTGAGAAAAAGCTGTTTTTAGTTCCACGCCAGAGGCATTTCCCCAGAACAAAGACAGCATAAAAGGATAATGTGCAATTTACATTGATTTTTTCTCAGGTGAAGGTAGGAGAAAAGGAAAATAATAGGGCAAATTAGTGTTCCAGCATTCCTACGTGTAACGCAGATTCGGAGGCATGAGGAGTGTGTGTTACTGGCTGTAATGCTGAGTCAGATGCAGAGGGGCTGCTGGGAAGAGTCAGCACGCTGAGGAAGTTTCCAAGACGGTGTCATACCCAATAAATTATATTTAGTTGGTAAGGTTACACACACCATAAAGCCTCGGGTATGGTTACAGCCCTGAGCCACGGACATCCACGCAGCTTTTGGGGAGCAGCGGAACCACATTTTCTCAGCCCTTCAGCATCATTTCGGGTCCCACCGGGAGGTTTAGGGGCTTTTATTCGTCCCTACACACCTGCGGTCACTCGCAACGCACACCACAGCTTTTAACCTTTTGGCCAGATTCCCTCACGCCACTTTCTGTGACCGGTACCAGCCACGCAGGGCAACCGCGGTGCGGGCCCTGGTGCTCCCAGGAGTTATTATCATTATTATTTATTTCGCAGGGGATTCACAGCACCGCTGTAACTGGCGTTAAACACCGAGCACCCCGCCTCGGAGCCAGCTGCGGGGTCTGGGGGCGCCTCCATTTTGCGGCCCGGGGGGCCCCGAAGGGGGGGGGGGGGCGGTGTAAGATGGCGCCCCGCCTCCCCGCGGGGGGGGCAGGGAGGGGCGGTGGCGTGGCGCCCGTGCTGGTGGCGGTGCCTCCTCCTCCTCCTCCTCCTCCTCCTCCTTCCTCCACCTCCTTCTTCTTCTTCTTTTACTCCTCCTCCTCCTCCTGGCCCCGTCGCGGCCGCGTGCGGGCGGTGCCAGACGCCGAGCCGGCCACACGCCCGCGGCTGTGTCGGGCTGAGGAGCGGGCACCCCCGGCACCGCCACCATGACGGCGGCCATGCGGCAGCGCTTCGACCGCTTCCTGCACGAGAAGAACTGCATGACCGCCGCCCTCGAGCGCATCGAGAGCAAGACCGGCGTCGACCGCAGCTACATCGCCATCGGTGAGCTCGGGCACCGCGTTTAGGGGCAGAGCGGGGCACGGGGGGACCGGCCGGCAGCGGGAGGGGGGCAGCTTGGCAGCGGCTGCAGCCGCGCCCTGCCCCGCTCCTCCGCCTCTTCCCCCGGGCCGCCCCCTCGGGCAGCCGGCGGGGCAGCGCCCGGCCCCTCGGCAGCGCCCCTCGGCAGCGCCATGCTCCCCATCTCCGTGTACCCCTTCTCCGTGTACCCCTTCAGCGCCTCAGGTGAGCCCCCGCCCGGCTCGGGCTGCCCCCGCTGCCCGTGGCGTTGCCTTCTCCTAATGCCCTCTCCGCTTTTTTTCCCCCTCTGTTCTCCCCGCAGCTGTCCTCGGGGCGGTGGCCGTGTACCTGGTGTTCGGCTACGGCGCCTCGCTGCTCTGCAACATCATCGGCTTCGGATACCCCGCATACGTCTCGTGAGTGCCCTGGGGTGCAGGGGGTGCGCGGGGATGGCTGTCCTGCCCCCGTTACCCCGGGGAGGGACCTGGTGGCAGGGTGCCAGCCCCGGTGGTCCTCGAGGACCGTGCCCCAAAACCTGTCTGCTCGCTGTCTGCCCGGCAGGTGCTGTGTCATGGGCTGGCAGGTGCTGAGCAGCTTGAAAGCGATGCCCACAGCATGGTATGTGTCCTCCTCGGCTTCCCGGCGGTGCTGTGTCCGCAGGGAGGCTGGGTCGCTGTGCCTCAGCTGCTGCTCCGAGCAGGAGGGGGGATCTGCTGCTGGGTGGCACTGGCTGGAGCTCACGCTGCTGCTTTGAGCCCAGTGAGCTCCCAGGTGCGGTGCCAGCACGTGTTTAGTGCAAAGCCCCCTGCACAGAGGCAGGCGCATTCAGGAGCGATGCTCGCTGCCGGACAGCCTGGCATGGGAGGAGAGGGAGAGGAAGGCTTTGGGGCTCCTCTTGAGAGTTAAAGTCTTAAAAAATATTTTGCCTTTCAGAGGACAGTTTAGGAAAGCCCCTGTGGGTGTTCTGTTTGTAAAAGTAGCTGGTATCCTTTTATTGGCACTATACTGTCAAATTACTAGAACAAAATGGCCTTCCCACTAGGTAAGACGTCAGTAGGTTGCAAAACACTTTTTGGGGTTTACTAAATAAAACCTTCTGTGTAGCATACAGTGTTCATAAAATGGAAGGCCTTCCCAGCTTTAATGTTACGTTGCTGAAACGCAGTGCTTGGCTCTTATATAACCACTTACATACAGTCAGCGGCTTTTAAAAATGTGTTATCTGGCATTTAGCTTCTGGGCAATTAAAAATACATTGCTTTGCTTGCCCTTTCTCTTGTTTCCCGAGTGGGGGAAATCAACTCAGTTTTAGACTCAGACGAGATTAAAAATGACTTTTGAAATGCCTTATGGTTACGATGCTTGAAACAGCAGTGCTTTTCTAAATAGTGTTACTGGTGTGCACTAATTTAGGAGATAATAGGTCAAGAACAACTTGGGGGAAACTTAGGGTTTGTTTTATATAAGGCAATTTATAATTGAATTTTTTAAATTAAAATCTGAAAGCAGAAATGTTTAAATACTGTAGAATCTTTAAATAGTTGAATAGGAAATACACTTATGTACTATTTTCTGCCCGAGTTAGGCCGCTATTAAATTTTTATAATTTATAATTGTGAAAGGCTACTTAAAGTTTTACACTTGTTTGAGATCAGAATTTAAAACTTCCCATATTCAATTGGGATGAATAAACAGATTATAGAGCTCTTAAAGTTGTGGAGGCAAGACAGTAGCAAATAAAATAAAAATAGTATGGGTTTTCTTTCTTCTCATGCCTGTCTCTTTTTTTGTCCAAATCTGGAAAAATTGTTTTATCTTTCTGTAGAGTGTCTACCCTTCTGTGTGCAGGTAGTTTTAAGTGTACCCTGGCTTGAAAATTTACCTCATCGATATTAATACTGTGAATTTTTTTGGTCTGTTTTTGTACTGGGTGCATTGGCCATTGTTCTTGATTACAGGTCTTAACTAACGTATGCAAACAAATGAAAAAAAGCATGAATATCACGCACATGAATACAGTGCCAATTCTGGCTTTTCTGATTCATGCTAATTTAATGCTTTCCCTTTGTATATCTTTTTAATGTGGAAACATTTTTTTAGGGTAAAACTATAATCTTAGGTGATAATCTCATTTATATAGCATGCATGCCAGAGGCATACACTTTTTAGTGGCATCCTGTGGAGAGGTGTTAGTCTGTAAAGTAGTCTGCTGACACATTGGCTGCCCTTATCTCCCTTCCCAAGTGCAGAGATGATGCTTTGCATTTTCTGACGAACAGTGTTGTGCCCACAAAACCAGCAGCCCAGCAAGAGTACAGAGGAGATGTGGGAGGGAATATGCTAGAATGCATTTTCATGGTCCCGTTCCATTTCCCCTTTTTTGGGGAAAGTGTGTGAACTCAGGACAGGCATAGTAGCCCTTGCAAGTCTGTACGTGGTTATGGGATCAGCCTGGGAGCAACAGGCCAGGATTTCTCCTTTTGTGCTTTCTCCTGAGATGGCTTTCAATCTGCTGCCATGCATGGGCTGCCTAACCAAACCTAAAGCCTGTTTGGTTTTACCTGGAAGACATTACCTGTCTTCCACTGCATGGGTTTCTTTTTGTCCTGGCACTACCATGCCACGCTCTGTATTTACCTTAGGGTAGATACCCTAATGTAGGGCTAAGCCATGGGAAGATATAGCTGAGTTACCAGAGTGATTCCAGTTTCCTTTCCACAGCTTTGATCCTTTACTTTAGTTAGGGTGCTGCTGAGTCTTGTTCCCTCTGCTTGTGGTCCTAAAACACAAGGAGCTCCAGCCAGTGTGGTGTCTTTATTCCTCACTTCTCTTTAGTCTGTTCCTCTTTGAAAAGACAGCTGAAGAGCCCACTATATGAAGTGTCGGTACAAGTGGGAGTTGCTTCCTAGCATTGGGTAGAAAACCTTTCTAGCATTTTTCATTGGTTGAAAACACCTTCAAATGTGCTGTGGTGGGTTAACCATGGCTGGTCACCAGGTGGGTACAACTACACTGCTCTCTCACCCACCTTCCTCTGAAAGACAGGAGAAAATACAATGGAAACACTCAAGGGTTGAGCTGAGGACAAGGAGATCATGATAGTAATTAGTGTAATTGGTGAGTAGACAAAACAAGCTTGGCTTGAGGAAGATTAATTTATTGGTTATTAGTAACAAAGTAGGATTTATGGTATAGTGAGAAATAAAATACCTTCCCTCAATGTCACTTTCTGTGCAGGTTCAATTTCACTCCTGACTCTGCTACCTCATCCTGCACCCCTGAGCAGCACAGTGGTCATCCACAGTGCTTTGTGTTTGCTGCTCCTTCCTCATGCTCTGCCCATGCCCCCTGTGGGGTCCTGCCTGGCTCTTCAAGCACTGCTCCCACACGGCTCCGTCCCACGGGGTCCATCCATCCATTCCCCAGGAGCAAACTGCTCCAGCACGGGTCCCCCACGGGTGGGGGCAGCTCCCCCCAGACCCCCTGCTCCTGCGTGGGCTCCTCTCCACGGGCTGCAGCTCCGGCCCGGGGCCTGCTCCTGCGGGGGCTCTCCATGGGCCGCAGCCTCCTCCAGGCCACATCCACCTGCTCCAGCGGGGGCTCCTCCACCCATGGGGGGGCTGCAGCGTGGAGATCTGCTCCATGGGGGACCCATGGGCTGCAGGGGGACAGCCTGCTCCACCAGGGGCCTCTCCCTGCACAGCCCGCAGGGGAACTGCTGCTGCCTGCCTGCAGCACCTCCTGCCCTCCCTCCTTCTGCACGTGCTTTGGGGTCTGCAAGGATGTTTTACTCCTTGCTTTCCTAGTTGCTGTTCCACTGCATTTTTTTCCCCTTTCTTTCCTCTGCTCTCCCAGAGGCCCACCCAGTGTCACTCCCTGGCTCAGCTCTGGCCAGCAGCAGGTCCGTTTTGGAGCAGCTGGAGCTGGCTCTGCTCTGACATGGGGCAGCTGCTGGGCTCTGCTCTCAGAGGCCTCCCCTGCAGCCCCCTGCTACCAAAACCTTGCCACGTAAACTGTACAGCTGTTAAAGCCGTGCCTCCTGGAAGAGGTCAGGGAACACAGCCATCAACAGAACATGTAACAGAGGGAATTAATTTGATGTACACGCAAGCATGTCAGCAGTGGGTCCACATGTGAATCTGCTCAGAAGAGTACTGAAGGAGAAAAAAGAGACAGCCTTTCCCCAGTTAACTTACTGTCTTTTGTTGTGATGTAGATCAGTGTGTCGTTTTTGTGATGTGATGGAATAGTTTAAGATGAGAAATAAACTTAAGTAACCAGTAGAAAGACTGGTGGTAGCATTAAGTGGTGGGATGGGTGTGTTCTGCAAGACAGATTACCTCCTGTTCTTACAGTTGCTTAAAACAGCCAACAGGCTACTACTGATGAGAGACCCACCAGGCGTGTTCCAGTTACCCTCTGTTAGGATTTTAGTTTTGGATTACCTTGGTCACAGTAGCTACGGATCATCTCTTTACTTGCCTGAAAGAAAGTGTATTTGGGGGGAAAAAAAAAAAACAACAGTCCAGAGATGCTTCACTCAGAGTTCAGCCTGCACGCAGGCAAAGCCTTGGCAGTTTCACAGCTGCCCACCATGCCTTGTGTAGTTCTGTAGTTTATTTTCTTTCCTTAGTACCATTCTCTTTGCTCTGTGACCGTGTGTGCTGTGCAGCAGATGTGAATCTTGCTGCTGTGGTACCTGAGGGCTGTAGCCACCAGTGAGACCGGGCTGGTGGGGTGTGCTGCCAGCACTGGCCAAGGCACAAGGTGGTTTCAGGTAGGCACGGCTGCTTCCCTTCTCCTTCCCCCCCTTTAACGTTCACCTTTGGCTTGGCTTCGTGTAAGTCTGTGCTGTGTTTGTGCACAGAGGAGCCATGCACAATCATCTGTCATACACAATCTTCCTGGCTCTTCTTTGAGGAACCTGGTCTGGTGGGAGGTGTCCTGCCCATGGCAGGGGGGTTGGAACTGGATGGTCTTGAAGGTCCCTTCTGACCCAAACCATGCCATGGCTCCATGATTCCCCAAATCCCCGTCTTCTATGCCATGTCACCACCCACAGGGCTCTTAACATAGGCAAAATTAAGCAGTAGTTTTCCAAGGAGAGCTTATCTGGCTATCGCCCAGAACATCAGACAATCTGGGTTAAAGTTAGTCATAAAACCCTGGCGTTTTTCCCTCAAATCCTGTTCAGTGCTCTGTGATTAAAAAAAAAGTAATTGTTTTTAAGTTGAAGTCTACTACTCATTTGCAGGCTTTTGTGTTTGCAGTAGGCCAGCATTTGAACATTCTCCGCAGATGATACCAAAAACCTCTTACGCGTCCAGTGAGCTTTAGCTGCACAAGGCGGTACTCAGACTAGGAGATGGAAGGAGTGAGTCCTGCAAGTACTTCAGTAATGTTGCCAATGTCTCGC